ACAAATCAGTTGACTGAAATATAATTCAAACTAATAAATATTAAAAAAACAATTAAAAAAATAAATAAAATTAAAATAAAATAGAACAAATTAGACTAAGAATTAGAATCTGGTTTTATTAAAAATAATTCTAATCTAATTAGACTAATTATATTTGGTAATTAAAAACCTAATAACAGGATCAGCACTTATATATTAAATTATATAATACTTAAATTGAAATTAATTTTTAAATCACCTTTGAAGATTAAAAAAAAAAAAAAAAAATTTAATTTTTAAAATTACAAAGATGTGACAACTTAGTGAAGTTGGTAAATTGTCACACCTCAAGTAGCAAGACAAAAGTCCAAATTCCACTGACAATAAAATTTGAATTTATAGAATATGTTATAGCAGACAGTGTATAATCTGATGGATCATCAGATCTGTAGCTTTGGTTATACTAGCTTGTACTAGAAGAATGTAGAACTATAGTGTGATATATGAGTTATACAAAATCTGAGTAAAAAGTTTGTGTAAATCTAAGGGCTGGGACATATGAAATCCTACTTGGCAAGTTCTGAGTAGAGAGGTAGTACAGACTTTTGATGGTGCTATGTAAAAGATTATTAACCAAAGAACTAAGAACTAGACAGGATCAAGATGTTCATCAAGACAATATACCAACCAGACTGCTAGTGTATTTCAGAGAAGGTGTCCACTCTTCTGGACTATCTGAATTGGGAGTTTGAAAAACCAGAGAAATGATAGATAGTCTATAAAATGGGTGCTGGGTTTGAGTAAACTCTACAAGGGCAAAAGTAGATAATAGTAAATTTAAAACTTGGTAACAATTGAGTAGTTATCAGTTTTAAATATAATATATCTGATTTGTATCTATTTTGCTAGCTTTTGACTAGTAAAAACTAATACTTGTGTTTTAGCAAAAAAAATTTTAGTATAGTTTTTTTTAAAGTTCTATTTTATTCTTTTTTTTTTTAGTTTTAAAGTAACCTCTTAATTATCTCCTTTTATTCAATTATTGTTAACTTTTATAGTATAGTATACCAAACTGTACATATATTGCTATATATATTAATTATTTAATTAAGTGAAAATATATAGTACCTTCTTATTTTTAGATATCTGACTTAGGACTTTAAAGCAGGCTTCTATTAAATATTCTCGAAGTAAATCTGCTAGAACCTTCTGTACCCACAATCCAGCTAACCTAGTCTTCAGTTGATACATACAGCCCAAGATCCACACTTGCACTCCAGTTTCTATAGTAGAAGTGTTGTTCAGCTGTTTTGTTCTTATCAGTTTTTTTATAACATTTTAACTAACTATAGTCTAATTGCTGCTATACAACCTACTTCTGTCTTTATAGAGTTCACCCAAACCCTAGTATACTTACAGACTATTACTAGTATCTTAACTACCCCAAACTACTAATTCAGATGATCTAGAAGGACTATGACCTGCTTCTAGTCCCCATGATTAGGTTCTTTTCTTCTGGTTACTCCTCTAGTAGCCTAGTTGATGAAGTGCCTTGCCAAACACTTCGGTTCTGTTCAGTTTAACCAGTTTTTCAAGTATTAATCTGCATGTAATACTGTCAAAGATCTATGCTACCTCTCTATTCAGGACTTCCCAAATGAGCACCTCATTGTCATATCGGTCCTGTGACTTTCTGCAATTCTGAAGAACTTATATTGGGTTTTGTATCAACTAAACTGGCTTGTATGTCTTTGTATAACTTTTTTATTATACAAATGTCACAGAATTTTCTAATTTTTATCTTAGTATGATCATAGTTACAGGGTCTTAAGTTTTTTTTAGCCACAATGATAGTTGCTGAATCTATTTTTTTAAAATTTAATTTTTGCCTTCCATGAGAATTGAACTTATACTCAATTGCTTGAAGTATAACAATTTTACCACTTTACTAAGTCATTACACCCTTGTTTTATTTTATTTTAACACCAACTAATCTAATTAACAGTATTTTTTTAAAAAAAAATATCAAATAATAACAATCATTTTTATTTTGAACAAGAGTATATAGATATATCCTCTAGTAGATTTCAAAATATTCAGAATTAAAGATAAAAATATAGAGATCTGTAAATTAGTAGTTATACAAAACACTAAAGATTATAATATTTTGTATAATTACTAATTTGCAAATTTCTATATTCAGAGTATGACAACTTAATAAAATTAATAAATTGTCACATCTCAAATAGCAGAATAAGAGTTTGAATTCTATTAATAATGAAATTCAAATTTTACAGAATGTGTTATAGCAAACTTGTATAATCTAACAGATTAGCATCTGTAACTTGGTTATATCAGCTTGTACTAAAAGGCTGTGAAATATTAATGTGATATATGAGTTATACAAAATCTGAATAAAACACTAAATAAATCTAAGTGTATAAAATCTGAAAAAAAATTTTTGTGCACATGTGCACATAGGAAAAATATTTTTGTGCACATTTTAAAAATTTGACTATAAAATTGTGCACAACTTATATGTTAATTAGTGCACATCCAGTTTAAAAAATTATGCACACTAAAAAAAAATTGTGCACATGTGCACATTGTGCACATGAATTTTATATACTGGTTTGAAGTATACAAAAGTCTGCTTAGCAAGATTTAAGTAGAAAAAGTAATACAAACTTTCAATAGTACTATATAAAGGATTATTACTCAGAGAATTAAATAACTAAACAGGACTGAAATATTTGGCAAAAACATTACACCAACCAGAATGTTAGGTAATTAGAGGAAGAGATTAATCTTCTGGGCTATCTGAATTGAGAGTTTAAAGAAACCAAAAACATAATAAATAGTTTATAAAGTGGGTGTTGGGATTTGGGTTAACTTTACAAAAACAAAATTAGGTAATAATAGCAGCTTCAACTTGTAAATACATACTTTTGAACTTGGCATAAGTTATCAAAGTCTAAATTAGCCAGATTGTAGATATAAAAAGCTCTAACAATGATGCTTTAAGGATAAATTAGTCCTAAAAGAATAGGAAAAGTATCTGGGACTTCTTAACTGACAAATGTAATGAAAATATACTGGTAATACAAGTGGGTTGCATTATAGAGGGTTTAAATAAGTAACATCTGTAGTTGGATTACAGATACAGCATATAGTATAAAACCTACAATAGTAGGTGGACTACTTAAATTAAACACCAAAAGTGTACATGTGGCTAGATATACTCTCTAATATAATAGGAGGTTCTGTTGTAAGCCTCCCTACCCAATAACTTGAATAAAACCTTAGTCCCAAAGAGGCTAGTTAAAAAAAAAACAAACAATCTCTATGTTTACACCTTTAACTCTAAATATCTAACTACCATTAGAACCAGAAAACCTTCTCTTCAACTTTACTTAAAAACTCAAGAAAGGTTAGCTTATAAAAAACTTAATTAAATTTTAAAAAATTAATTTATTTAAAAAGCGATGTATCTAAAATATATTGTGTATTGTATTTTTTGATTTAACAAATTTGATTGGTTAAAATTAAAAATGGTGTTGAACACCAGTGGTGTGATTTATCAAAATACCCAAATATCCACATCCGTCAAAATACCCACATTTCCCTTATATTAAACACCAAGCCAAATATAAAATTACCGATCGGAATGATTTTTATTTACATGAAATGCTCATTCGGTCTTGGACAGTTATTTTGTTGAATTTTCTTATAAGTTCAGAACGAACAAACAAAATAAGCTGTTGGCTATTTGTTTTACAAATGAAACCAGTTCATGCCCTTTTACTAACAAGCGCAAAGATGCTTATATTCATGTAGTAAGGCTGATTCCTCATGATCCAACTTGTTTAGCTTGTTAACTTCTATGGAAGCATTCAAAGCGCGTGGATCGTACCTTGTAAAGTTTACTGCACATTAGTTAAAGATATAGCAGTACTTCGACCTCGTGATATTATAGATCGTGTTCGTTCTGAAGTGGGAGCTGAGACATCATACACTGTAGCTTGGAGAAGTAAAGCTATTAGGTCACACACAGTTAATTTTTCGTTTTGCATTGCAGGATTTCAAAAATCTGTCAATCGGTTGGATTTTGTTTTTTAATTCTGTATAATGAGCTATAGCTCTAAAACATCTATTTAATCACGAAATGAAGCAATTAATCATGATACCATTACATTTAAATCGGTTATAATTTTGACGGTATATTTGGGCCCTTTATCTGTAATTATCTTCATTTTGGGCCCTTATTTGTAAATTCACCATTTTTTTTATCGGGATTATGACCTGTCGGGATTTTGGCCCAAACTTTGTAGCCATAATATCTTTTTGATGAGTAAAAACTTCCATTCTTGTATGCTCCAATTCGCAGAAGATTAGAAAGGTTTATGCAATATATGTAACTAAAAATGTTTATCAGAGTACCAAAGTTTCACCATAACATTGTTGAGAATTGTTTCTTGATGATGGTATTATATTCGGTGAAAGCAATAAACCATTATTTTTACTTAAGACTAAAAATCATATGTGTGTAACACAATATAACAACTAGATTATAGTAGGTCTAGATAGCCAGTTGTATATGATACAAATTCTAGACTTTTTTTTTTTTATTTAACGTTAAAGTTATTGATACAAATAAACATACAATAATTTACAGATTTTTTTTTGTGAAAATTTAAAATTACATCGTAAAATTAGATTGATTAATCAGAGTTACGCGATTACCGTTATTGATCGCTCAGCCTTAATTTTATAACTTGAAAAACTTCGTAATCCTCAACTGCAAAAGTTCCATTTTTTCCATTCCAGCTATCCCAACTTTCTCTGTGAAACATATCACCAACACTTTGTTCGTAACTTTCCTTATTACAACTACAACTTCCTGTTAAATTAAAATCATCAGTTATCCATAAATCACCATCTCCAAAACATGGTCCATTATATTGTGAATCACTAATGGCGTATTGCGAGCATGCTGGAATTACTCTACCAAGTTTAGCAACCATTTTTTTCTTGTAATCAATATTGAATTGAAATATAAAACTGTCACGTGTATAACGCCATGAATTTGTAGAGCCCCAAGAAAGTGGATTGTATCCGCCAATTACATGTTTTGAATTATTAACTTTTAAAAGAGTAACTGTTGGTCCTTGATTATCACATCTATCATGGAATGTAGCCGCAGAGAAACCATCACGGGATCCACGGACCAAAAGTTTGAATTCATATTGAAGCTCACCAGGGTATGATGGAAGAGAAGTATTATCACCACCATCAATCCAATGAGCAATAAGGGCTGAATGTGGTTTTTCGATAATAGTCGATTTTATACCTATTAACAAATACAAAAATTTCTATATCAGATGCGAACATATCGGATTTATATAAATAACCCTCCACATGGGCTTGAGCTACCTATGGGTACCCGTGGAAAAGCCTACAGGAGCCAGGCTAGAGCATCGATTTCCAGGCCCTGAGATAGGGATAAGGGTTTGGAAATCGAGCCCTTACACAAATTGGTAGAATTAGGGTACTGCTATTATTCGGCCTTACTCAACCCATGCGGAAGCATATTGGGTGAGTCAGTAGAAATCAAGCAAATTTTTTTTAAAAATTTAACATTTAATAAAAAATTTTTAAATAAATTTTATAAGTTTGTGAGATTTATTTAAAAAAATTTTTATTAAATTTGATTAAGTTTTTGTTGAGTTATTGTTGGTTAAAGTTTTAAAAAAAATTTACTTAGAAGAAATTTGCTTGGTTTCTACTGACTCAACCCCATATATTTAAACAGTTCACAAATGAATTAAGTACCTTTATATCTTGGAGTTTGAAGATATTCAGGTTTAAGTTGCATTCCAGTTTGAAAATGATAACGTTTAAGATCTTCGTATAATTCTTTAGGGAGGATTTTTTTAAATGGTCTAACTTTATTATAAATTTCCGATGGTTTCATTTGAAAAAACCTAATGGTAGGAATAATCGGTTCTAAAATTTCGCGAAGTGCATTAAAATCGTCATTTGACCATTTATTGATATCGATGGTGAGATTTACATTCGCAATGCCCCATTCAAGAAGATGATCCCAGATCACAACTTCTTCCATTTCGAGATCACTACGATTCAGCAAAGAAATTAAAGTTTCTTCTTCGAGTGAAGTGAAATCTTTAGCTTTAAATATCGATTGTGGATCTTCACAAATTGTTATTAAACAGAATTCTTGAAGATCTTTCGAAGAATCGATTTGGAATACAGTTCGATGAACGAGAGCGAAATTTTGATGTAACCAACTGGATTTGTTTGTTAAAAGAAATTCTTGAATGAATTCTTGAAGTTCACTAAGAAGTAATTCATCAGACGCAATCAACAACTTTAAGAGATCTTCTCCTTTTTGCTGGTCCATAGGAATAGAACCTGTGTACATAAATCTATAATTTACGATTTATATGAGACTGAGTTAATCTTAGTAATGTTATGTTATGACTAAATCATTAAAAAAATTACCTAAGTAATAGGGAAAAAATATAAGGATCAATATTTGGTTTATTAAAAACGGTCATAGTTCCTTCCTTTCTAATCCAATCATTTGATAATGCAGTTTTAAAATAAGGAGATCTAGCCCTTAACACTACGGAATGAGCTTTAAACGATTGCCTATTTGTATCTTGGCCAACATTTATAAGGACATTATGATCATCACCATCTTCGAGAAGATTGGCAAAGTCTACAGCTAAGGATGTCAAGAATTCATGCATTTTTACTTTAATAAAGGGGAATGATTTTTTGGAAGAATAATGGAGATGCGAAAAAACTGATCTTATTTATATAAAATTTTGTCCTAAATTCAGAAGTCATCAGCATTCAAATTGTTCCCATGCAGGATACGAGTGACAATGTATTTCGCAGATTTTATGAAAACACGAAAAGTGACTGAAACATAATATATTATAATTATGCATTATATGTAGTCAGCCAACTTTCATGTATTTCATTTAGGATTGAATAAACTTATCATATCACGCTCAATTTAGAGAAGAATCAAGATCTTCATTTGTATCTGTTTTCTATTGTTAAACTGTTGCACAAGTCTCCTATAAATGAACCTCGGGTTTATTGTTTCAAAAATTGAAGTTTGAGTCTATAAATATGCTCAATACCCTAAAATTCGGACTAGCTTCGGTGATACCTTTCAGAATTCGGACTAATTTCGTGATACTTTTCAACTCCTTACATATGGTGTTATTACAGAACACTTTGGACATGAATTCGGGCATTTGGAAAATTTGAACAAAAAAGGAAAATAAATAAATAAATAAATCAAAATGTTATTAAAACTAGAATAGGAGCTAATGAGAAATAAGAATCGTACATGTTATTGTTTTATGATCAATCCAACCGTCAAATTCGCGAACGCAGACATCAAGTGCTCTTTGCCTCTAACGAGCAGATTCAACGTTACCACCAACCGAGGGACAGTCACATGATCTTACGACCACCGGAGCACAGTGATGCAAACGGCCTGAGCCGAGCCGTTTAATGGCTCAAAATCTTGAAGCCGAGTGATCCAAATTGGTAAAAATTTTGCCAATCGATTGGCATTAGTTGTCAACTACAGGGTCGTTTAAAGCCTTGACCTTACTAAATTACCCGATATGTGTCCCGGATTATTCGATCAAACCGACCAAAACTTGAAATGCCATCTAAATCGGTCTTGATGCACTAAGTAAAAGTGTTGGAAATACGATTTTACTATATTTCTACTAACTTAATTAAAAATCGGAAAACTGGAAGAGGCCAGACTTAAAAGTCCCCCAACTATAACAGTATAGTCGATTTTTCATATCATGTGACTAAATTTATCGATTAGCCAATCAAATTATAAATCGATTAGTTGGAAAGTTGTCAACTAGTTGATTTTTCAATGACAATTTTGTTTTTTTAATAACAGTAGTTGAAACATACGTAAATATAATTCGAAAGTTAGAACCACTTAATAGATAATTACTTCATAGACACCTTATTTCACAATAGCTCATTCCATATAAATTTACAGTATTTCAACTTCACTGCCAAATTATAGCATTATTATTAGGATTAGAATCAGAAATATGTTTAGGTTAGTGCAAGTTATAAAAAACTTAAGCTATCGGCAAAATAAAATTATATATGAAATAAACTGTCGGTAAAAATAACTCTCCATGGAATGGACTTAATTGTCTGTAAAATAAACTTATCTGTGAATTATTGCGGTTAACTTCTGCAGATCATGAGAATCAGTGATCTGTAGATTTCAAATAATTATAAGCATAACTGATCAAAGATATGACTAATAGAAATCCGGATCTTTGGAATTTTCTTCGATCATCACAAAAATTATAAGTCGCATCTTTTTGCAAAGCTATGTAAAATTTGGTAAAATGTGATAATGGACACATGTATATCTGCTGATCTTTATAGAGTATGATGCCAATAATCTCATACATAATTACATAAAGAAATCAGAAATTGTCTAACAATTGAATTATTTTTAATGATCTGCCAAATTCATGACATTTTGCAAACCTCGATAATTGCTCGTAGAATATGGTGTTTAGGAAATGATTGTTGGTGAAATGATACGGATTCAGCTAAAATCCGGTTTTCAAAATTTAAAATTTAAAATTTAATCTATCGTTTTTTTTCAGTTGAATCAGGAATGGTAAATTCTAGAAGAATACGCATCGGCCGTCCATGAGCATTGGTTTGCTCAGTACCAATTAATTAGAATATCGGCCGGCTTGAGGTTAATCAGCAAGGATCCGTAAACTTTTGGATATAAAATTTTCACAAAAATCTAAAATTTCAAGTATCAACTCAATTTTTAAATTCTAGAGAATTTATATCTAAAATTATCAAATTTAACTAAAAGTTTCTAAAAATTTCTATATTACATTACATTATAGTTTGTGATACATCTTTTGTTTTTGTGCGAATCTATTTGTCGCCGGTGGTGACGGTCACCGGGTTGCAATTGGCCAATCATATCAGGAATAACGTTCGTGTAACCCGAAACGAAGAAAACATTGGTTAAAATTTCACCTATTAAACCATCTTTTTCATGTTCTAACTAAACAAATTCCTCGCCAAATTTTACTATACGTAATGCTTTACCCTAGCCCTAACTCAACTTTAACCCTGACCCTAACGATAATTAACCTTATCGTTTGTTTTGATTCAGTTACACGATCTGGTTGGTAGTTGCAATTCGGTGACCGTCACCGCCGGCGACAACTAGATTATTTCTTTGTTTTTAATAAAAAAATTATACAAACTTAACTTATTTAACTTCAAAGACATACAGTACATGACTAGTTTGTATTGGATATTGATACCGTGATCTAGAGACAAATTTATGTGACTTAGGGCGATTTGATTCCTAATTGTTTTTATATTTGGTCAGGATTGCGATAAATCAAATTACTAACTTGTGTTTTTATAATAACATTCTTCAAAACATTAATTATTAGATTATTTTAAATTTAAATCAAAAATTCACTAATTTTGTTTAAATTTTTTGTTTATATCAAAAAAATTTTAACTAAAATTTTATGGGTCTCGTTAATAAACTTATAAATGGCTCGGCTCTGGTTTGCATAGCCGAGGATCGGTTTGGCTCGGCTAATATTGTTCGGGAGCCGGCCTTTGCATCACTATCTGAGCAGGGACCCGTAATGCTCATGATCGGTTGCAAGATCTGGTATAATGTGATATAGCGTGATAGTATTACATAATAAAAGCCTGTAAATATACGAAAAAATAACATTTTATATTGTATATATTTGGAAGATATCTACACATAGAACACGAAAAAAAAATATATTATTTGCCACCAAAGATAAACACATTACACCATTTGACAGCGAATTTGCACAAAAGAATAACCAATTTAGTACAGATGAATATTCAATTTCGTACAAGAAAATAATGATAACTTGTAATCTAATTTGAATAATCTTGATACCATTTGAATCATCTCATTGAGATGATTTAATAGTATAAAAATTATTCAAATTAGATTACAAGTTATCATTATTTTCTTGTACGAAATTGAATATTCATCTGTACTAAATTGGTTGTTCTTTTGTGCAAATTCGCTGTCAAATAGTGTATATTGGTTCGCGAATAGAACAATAGAGCTACGTATAAATTTTTTTTTTGGTTTAAATCGATAAATATTAAATAAATTTTGTTATTAAATATATATTTACACAATAGTTAATATGATTAAATTTAAAAAATTTACAATAGCAATAGAATAAAATGAATAAAATTTACAATAGAACAAAAGAATACCAACACTGCAAATTGCTATTATAAATCTAGATCTATTATCTACGACCAACAAGTTAACACTTCATTAAAGCTATACACATTATTTGCTGAACATTACATTATTAAAAGTATTTTAAAGTGTATAAATAAGTTACCCAGGCAATTGAGTTGCATCAGCCAATCAGATGAAATTCGTTCTATGAAAATTATACTCGAAGTGCATATTGTTATACTGCATAAAATATCGATTTATATGAATCTAAATAAGCGTCCCTACGCATAACCATAGTGTTGTCGCATAACTATACATGCCGCTCAAACTCAAAATCTCACCCAAATCCCAAACATGGTAAAATTGTCCTTGTCCCAAATCTCAATCCAATAGTTTTGCCAGCAAGTATGGCTATAACTGCGAGTTGCATATTTTCTCGTCCGTATTCTCTATTTGTATTTCTTATTTATATTTCCTATTATGCTTAAACCAAATCAAAAGAATAACAAGAAACAAAGTTAAACAGATTATGTAAAATTATACGGATAAATAAATCGTCTTATTTCGTCAATTTATCTCATACTTTATTATTTCAGATTTTGACCCCACACAAAATTTTGTACAATTTTGACCAATCAAAATTCAAGATCAGCCTGATCTTGAATTTTGATTGGTCAAAATCGTACAAAATTTTGTGGGGTCAAATATTTACTTACAGGTTTTTTAACTTTCGAGCACTCATATCACGATTTTAAATTTCGTCATAAATCTGTTTATTGTGAACCCTGAACTCTGAAAGTGGTCTAGGTTAAATCACTGATATGTTCATTGATATATAATTATGGCATTATTAAAGAAGAGGGACTTTCTCGAATATAGTAATGATTCCGATATGGTCACATATATGCCTGCCAGCCAATCAGATTACAAAAAAATTGTGGATTCAAAATATGTTAAATTAATTCATTATACTTTACGTTTCAAAGAAAGTTAAGCTACCCGAGATTTTTATGTAATTATATGGAAATCATTTCCATATCGTTCCTGTCGGCATTTAATTACTTATAATGCATGTCTAGCCAACATGTGATTTTGCGCATTTAGCAACATGTGAATGTACTATGAAACGGGTGGGTAATTCGAGTAAGGATTTTCTTGGCGGCTACAAACTCTATCTTGGCGGCTACAAACTCTAATCATTACAAAGAACTACTGAGCTATAAAAATATATCAAAGAGTAAATCTTTAATTTTAGCTAATCAAAATTTTGATTACCAAATGATTCTACTCAATCTGAAGTTGAATTTTATTATCGTCATTCGGTTCTTATCTCACAAATACTATGATATTTACAACAATAATATAATGAAACTTCGATTTAAAACTTGCTTGTATTACAGTATTTCTGGTTGAATTAGATAGATCGATTCTAAGCGCGTTGCTAATTCAACGTCAATACTATAAAATTTTTTTTAACCGTTTCTTTAACTAGCTTACGGTAACTAAAACATACTTTAATGAATTAAAATTTTATCAAATTTTCTAACCTTAATTGAACTTCGTATATGTGGTTCGAAGTATTTTGATTATTAGGTCCATATGAGGTTTCTCCGAATATTATTTCATAAATATATAATTTATTAGCTATGCCCCGAATATAATCTTGAAAGTCTCCTTCTTTTGATTTGCATCGTATATTAAAGGTTGACTCAGCTCGTCTATTATCCCTGTAGATAAATACAATGAAATGATATGCATCGTAATTCATAATTCAAAGGGTGTGTAATTATGAAATAAATATAAATAAATACTAGTTTCGACATATTTTAAATAATATAGTATGTAATCAACGAAGTCGTGGATTTATGTGCTTTCAATGATCAAATCATCATTTTTGTAAGTCGGATTTTCCCAGGGATTTTTGTTGAAGAATAGTTATGAGCAGACCTATTAGTTTATAGTTAGTTTTCTATGATTATGCCTGGACCAATAATAGTTTACAAACGTTTTGTAAATTAAATTATTTAAAGAACGGTATTCTTCTTAAATTGTCAACTTACTATCGTCGTCATATTTTCTAACATGAGAGAATACTTGGGACAAATTTTGGCGGAGCCACTTCTCCAGTTTTTCTTCATCAACATCTTTATTCAAAGAGATTCCTTCATAAACTTGCTGTTACTTGAATCATTGTAATCGTTAGGAAACTCGGTCATCATCATTAAGAAAAATACGTTTCAAATTCCAATAGTTTTTCCAACAAATTGATTCTGGAGTTGTCAAATCTGATCTTGTCGAATAATCAATACAATTGAAATCACACTTTAGGGTAAAGATCGTATTTAGGGCAAGTTTTATACAAAAATTTAGCAAAGAATTTTGATTAAAGCGCGGAAGGCTAAAAAGTTTATCGCATAATTCGCATAAATAAAAATGTAAAGCAGGCAAAATTTGGGGTCCTACATCATCCCTGCTTGCGCTTTAAAATCTGATTGGTTCATATTTGTGGATCTTTAATTTAGTCTCCCCGAAAAAGTTTGATAAATACGGAAGTTTCTCTTAATTTAAAACATCTATAGATTAACGTTAAGGCAAAATTTGAGCTAACAAATCGAATTATCTTCTTAAATTTTGTTTCAAAAATTAGGTTACTTAAAATTTATTAAAAACTATAAAACATAATAGTTTGCAAGGAAAAGACAGTTTTATTGAACTTGACAAATGATATCGAAATTGCAACAATTTAAATCAACTAAGGAAGATTGGATGTAAAAATCGATCTATAAAGTTTACAAATTTGATCATGGAGATATGGGAATATAATACACAGTATATATTATAGCAAAGTCAGATAAACAATGCTATGCAAAAAAAAGTATAATGAAAAAGTGTCTTCTAAACGTTAATGTCACTCAAAAATTTGAAGAATCTGATCGAATTTCCTTTCGAATTCTTCCAATGTCAACACTTCTACCTTTGATATTTAGAAAATGATATTAGAATACGAGGTAATATATTAACATATAACAAAAAAAATTTGAAATTCCTTAAATATTTACACCAGGAATTTGTGAATGAAGAAGTTGTATTTCATCTTTGTGGATAATAAGTACACAATGGCGAGGAGGATTCTCATTTACCGCGATAACGCGATATGAAATTAATAAGGCCCAATAAAGTGTGTCAACTTCGTTATTACCGTGTCGTTGCTGCGACTGATTTAAAGTTAATCAGTGATATTCAGATAATGAATAGTTCAATGCCGGTTTACCTGTTTCCATGAATCTTCTTCAAAGAACTTGATTTCTTCCGAATTGAGTTTTGCATTAAAGACCCTACACATGCAATATTTTGTATTCAAATTTTATAAATAGACGAAATAAAATAGTTACAATCAATTAACATTTACCCGTAATTTTTACTCATTATTTTGTCAAGATGAGTCTTCATTTTTGGATTTAATAAAATTGTCCACTTTCCACCATTCTAATAAATAATGAGAATACTTGGATAGTAAGATAAGCTAAATCAATAATAAAATAAACATGTTAACGAGTATATCTACGATTTGGGCAATTCTAAAGATTCTTTCCACAGATTGAGGTTCAGTCGTAATTACTTTTGTTGAGACAGCCAAAAGTCCACCTGTAAACATTTAATATTTGGTTAATACCATTTCAAGATAGAAAAATGTTTTATACGAAACCTGGTATAAAATATGTTTCAAATTTTATTGGTCGTAATCTTTTTATATCATAACCGTAGACAAAAAATTGACATCTTTTCATATGCCTCAACCGAATTAAATTTGGCATAAAATTTAATTGATTCAGCCAAACAACTTCGACCTGTATTGTAATTGAAGAGCGAATAAGATAGCTATCATTATATTAAGTATTTAAATAAAGAGAATATAATATATACCAAAACAATATTTAAGGTCTCATCACCAATCGCGTCTATTGGAACATATTTTCCACCCAACGCTTTCATGCAAAAAACTATCATTTTGTGGTTTGAATGTTGTGTGTTCCCATATATAGTGAATTTTGGATTATTGGAGCATATTCGCGGTAATATATTTCCATAACCTTCTGCTTGTATCATAACTTCTGCCATAAAATAATCAATATCGTCCATCTTTTCAACACCTAATGCAAGTTGTTTCGGTAAACTCATCCGATTCTTTTGTATTTTCGGTTCTGGTATATTGTAAGGAACGAGAATCATACGCTCAGATGTCGAATTTAGTCCCATTTTGTTGCACAAATTCTCTGAATTGACTATTCCTAATAAACAAATCTTTTCGAATTCATACTCCTTCAAAAAGAAAACTGCGATCTAGAAATATCCACTATTATAAATAACTTCACAATAAACATTGTTAAAATATAAATATATGAATATCGATGGTATACCAAATCATTTACCCTCAGCCATCTTTGTTCTGTGCCAAATGCATCATACGAATGTGGGTTCTTCTCCGACTCCATTGACAATATATTTTGCAGAACGTCGTCTTTAATAACAAATTGTAAAGCGTACGATGAAGGTATAATATTTATCATACACATCTGATTCATATTTTTAAGGATAGTGCTAAATATATTTTAAATTTGTTTTAAGGTGAGAACTAATAAAAATATTCAATATAATTCGCTTAATAATTTAAAATAATACAATATGTGCTCATCCTTGTAGCTTTCAGGAACTTGCTTAATCACTACGTTCGCGACGAATTTATTAATTTTCCCTTTGGTTAGAGGTCCTTTCCATTGTCTGTCAAAAATAAGATTAGTTTTATTTGTAAAAGACCGTTCAATAATGGTATTGCGCAATTTACTTTAGTTCCGTAAGTGCATAATCGTCATCTATCTGCATTGGATCGGACGTGTCTATTGAAAGTTTATATGGATTGTTATAATAATCGTTTTTAAAACGTATAACAATTTTTTGTACTCTAACACACTTGATGCTGCTTTTTGAACCGCTTTGAGTATTGGCTTTGGTTTTGGATCGAGTTGTACCGGGTTTGATGTACGCATTGTAGGTACTGCATCCAACTTTGAGAATTCTCTCGTGTTGGTAAGGTCCGTAGAGAATTTCACTGATTTTGAAGTGCTCTATAAAATGATACTACAATGAAACTCTATTTGTTTTAACTGATTTTAAGCATTATAATACGATATAAGAAAAAATGTAAACCTCTTGAACTTGTCTCTGCCTACATCTTTCAATCAATGCGTCGGCATTTCTGAGATTTTTAACCGGTTCCCATTCTGGCTCTATAGACTGATCTGTAGGGAAAACATATATATTTGCAGTCACTATTTAAGTAATAAATCATGAAAATTTTTACATATTTATTGCATGCATATTTATTACCAGTATAAGTTATAAATGCAAATTCTTCACCATTTTCTGTCTTTAAGTCTACTACAGAATGTATTGTGCACAACTTGACTTGACCACCAACTTGTGTGGCTGCCCAAGCAGAAATATCCGGAGCTTGTGAAACGGATGACGAATCCCTTGGAATGATGTTAACGGAAGCGTTAGAAATATTTGTGATTATACTTGCAGATTGATCCGTAGAGTCCATAAAACGACGAAGTGCCCCTCGACTTGTTTTAAAGAAAAGTTAATTATTATGTAATATAATGAATATTTATTTTAATTATCAAGACATTTCTAAAAGTTTACCCTCTTGGATGAGAAGATCTCGCGGTTTGCCTTCTGGCTGGTGGCATTCTTTATGATTTAACAAATAATATACATATAATGATAATGGCAATTCTTGAATTTACTTATTTTATAATTTTTTTGAAATATGCGTCACTATATTTTGATGATAGAGAAATTATATATAGGTAATCATATCACTGTTTAAATTGCTGACATATAAATACATCATCTACTTTATTTTTTATTTAAAGCATTAGGTAATAATTATCAGTATTGTCATAGGACAGTTGTGAACATGAGTGTGAACATTTTTGAACAAAAAAAATAAATTAAAATTACTTATTTTAATTTTTTGAATAAAAATATTAAAAAAAATTAATGTATTTATAACAACCTGTTACATATAATAACCTTATATTAATCAATTGTAGTTAGAGTTAAGGTTTTGGTTACATGAATTTTTGACTATTTTTATTGAATGTACGAAGTTATTACAAATAGTATATAACATATTACAATTAGATTCATTTTTAAAAAATATATACATATACAGTTTTTTTTCTTTATAATTATCAACTTCTATATAATTACTTAACATTTTTTTTATTTAAAATATCTTTATGTAATTACGGTTAGCCTATAATCACTATTACACTTTTAAAAAATTTTTATTTATAAAAATATTTTTATACAATTATGAAGATAATTATTATCTACAAAAATTAAATTTTACTAAGCTAATTGATTTTTATATATTAACAAAAGGTTTCAACATAATGAATTACATATATTTTAAAATTTTCATGAATTTTATTGATATTTTTTATTATAAATTGTTATACACACTATGGGTTTTTGCTATTCACACCAAGGTTATATAAAAATCACTTTTGATTTTATTATATTATTGTTTATATATTTTTAAAACTTTAATCAAAGTTATTTTAACAATTATTAAATTAAAATCAATAAATTTTTTTTATTAATTTTTATTTTACAAATTTTTTATTTGAATTTGAAAAATCTGTAAAATTTAAATAAAAAAAGTTTATCAAATTTGATTAAGATATTTTTTAATCAAAGTTTTATAAAATTTTAAAACAATTATATTAATTTTAGTATACTAATATTTGTATTAAAAACTTTGAATGAAGATATCTTGAAAACTATTTAATTAAATTCAATGAATTTTTTTTATTTGAATTCTACAGATCTGTAGAATTCAAATAAAAAAAAGTTCATTAAGGGTAGATGGTACTATTTTAAAATTACATATAAACTTAATAGCAATTTTTTTATATTTAATTTTATAAAAAATTTTATTAAGTAATCTAATTTTAACTATTATTTAAATTTTGTAGAGTATATTTTTTTAATTCTAATGATAGTAAATTCATTAAAATTGATTAAAAACTCAGTAAGATATAAAAAATTTAAAATTAGATATAATAATCCTAACGATATCTGCTATTGTAGACCATTGTATGCAGTATCTCATGTTTAAATTAAATAATACCGGTACTATTCACAAACTTAGGGCTACTTTATGTGGTAAGATATTATTTTTTGAAGATACCATATGAATTTGTCAACAATATATATGCTTATAAGGAAAAATCAGTTAGTATAACTTAGGTTGATTTTCTGTTTAACATAACATGAGATAACTTGTAAGACGAGAGTGAGGAATTAAGAAAAACACACAATAATATTAGATACAAATTAATGCGCAATCTTATTGGTTAATTTGATCTGTATTGACCTATATAGATTTTGAAAAATAGAGGGAGTTATTTAATAATTTTGAAAAATAGAGGGAGTTATTTAATAATTTTGAAAAATAGAGGGAGTTATTTAATAATTTTGAAAAATAGAAGGAGTTATTTAATAATTTTGAAAAATTGAGGGGTGGGGTTATGTTAAACAGAAAATTAAATTGGTCTGGCCTTATTAATTACAGAATTAGAACCTTGAATATAACCTATTGGTATCTCTGTTTTTTATTTTAACACAACTACATTGCGCAGCTACCTTATTTTTCTTTTTGTGCAGTTTACAAAAATGATAACGCATAACCAAGCCTGATCACAAATATGTTGCACTTTGTGCAAAACTCTGTAAAACATTATTTTTGAAACAAAAAAGGCAAAACTATATTTTTGATATTCGTGGTTTGTACTTTATTTCAATAATTGTAGTCTACATGCACTGTAGTTTTGCTAAAATTAATCCGATGTTTCCTCTGCATTCGCGAGATTAGGAGGATCTATATTCAATGCCTCAAAAACTGCAAAGTAAGGAGAAGCAATAGCATATCTAGAATTTTCTGTTAACCATGCTGCATGGAGAATACCAAGGGCTTTTCCTTCTCGATCTACAATACTTGTACCGGAATCTCCAGGTTCAAAATCCCCAGGTCTGAATGAAAATGCTAATTGTCGATCAAACCACACAGTAGGATAGCATTGCTGTCGTTTTTCTTTGATTTCTTGAAACAATGATGCCTTCATGTATCCAATGAAGCTTTTTTTGTCTGTAATATTACTATGTGATGGGGTTTCAATTTGCTTTTTTGCAAATTTGACGCTTTTATTTGATATGCCAATGGAAATAGCATTAATAATGGGAACCAATTTCCCATAAGTGAGACCTGTAGTTCTTCCTACTTTAAAAACATCTAATTCATCAATGTCGTCAAACATTTCATATGTATAAAAGCCATTTAGACAAGTATTTTCAGGAAGATTTGCTTTTTTGAAGAACTCTGGGGAAATCGAAAATTTATTTGGACATAACGTACGATTATCATTCGCAAAAATACAAAATGCAGCATCAATACCAAAGTCCTTTCCATAAATTTTGGAAGTGAAGTTTTCACACATGCCATTCTTATAATGAGCTAGGGCTGAATTTAGTTTGTCCTCATTAATTTGAACATACATTTTTTCAGAAATTTGTTTATATGCTTCATTTTCAGTTGATAACTCAACAAATGACTGTTTCAAATTATCTAGATCTTTGTGTGAAGGTTGGTTGATTATTGTACCTGTTCCAGCATACAAATTGCTAAATCTGCATATATGTTCGCACAAGAGAATACTTAGTTTTGAATCTTTATCATACACTATGGCACCGAGAGTTCCAGACGTTCTCTGTGGTTCTATTACACCTATGCTCAAACCTAACTTAACATTCTTTTGATAAGCTTGACAAGTACTCACACCAAAGCCGTAGGGTGTTGCAACACAAGCTTCAACAATATCTACTGAATATCCAAGAATCTCACCTGGGAATAAGGTACATCCACGGCGCAGAATTCTCTTCTGACGAACATACAGTATGATGGCAGGGTCTTCACTAAGTTTACCTTTAGTTCGCTTATAACCAATGCTCATACCAACCAGATGATAGTGTGCCTCACAGAACGATGGCCTCAGTTCACTATCCAAGGCAAGATCAAAAATCTTCTGTAAATCTTGTGGGATCTTTTTCCAGGTCGGTAGAGGATCATTGGGGCTTTGTGGTGGAATTTTGGCGTTGATAAATCCTTTTTCTTCAGATATGAAACAAATAACTTGGCCTCCCGTAACCTCTGTTTTTTCATGCAAGTAAAGATAATTGCTAGTAACTACATAGACAATTCATGTTGTATCACCTGTGTAAATATTTTTCCCTCAGAATATGTCTACGACATCATCTTGAGTATATAGCTGGCAAAGTCGATTTTCGAGATCATCATTTCAGGGAACTGCTTCGATTGTAATTTGAGGTTCTATGAGTTTTTCTTCAGATATTTCACTAACTTCTATTTCTAAGTAAATTCAATTTAAGTGTCATGCAAAGCAAAATTAAAGTTCAATTCAATTCAAGAGATTACCTTCATCCTCTTCTTGCTCGTAGCAAAAAATCAAATTATAGATCTTATCACAAACCTTCCAATAAGTCATATTATTAATTTTTAGATTGTGAAAATCATTGCCATTAGGTCTTTTCCCCTTTGCTGCTTGCATAAATTTTGTGAATGAATTATATTTTTCATCTTTGGTATACAGAAGACCTTCATGTAATGCTGCTGTGCAACTAAAATTTTTATCTAGGTATTCTACACTATCTCCTTCGGACAGTAGTTCCATCTTACATATGAGCCCAAGTTTAATAGGTGGCAATGGTGGTTTAACAATAATGTGGATATAATTGCTAAGTGGTTTTTTAGAAAAGTAATAACTAATCTTAAGCGTTGTGTCGAGAAGTCGATCCTCATCACGAAGCACAAGGTTATTTAGTTTCTCGTTATTGTTGCAAACCCGAACCTTCCATAGTTTAAGCCTGTCTACAGCAAAATTATTAAATTCTGGTTCTTTTTTCTTCTTAATAGCTTGTTTGAGTTGGCCAATATTCTTTTTTCTGTCAATTTTTATAGGAAAAGCATGATCAATTGAGTTTTCTTGAACAAGGCAATTTAATGTAATAATATCGATATCCATTTGCAAAGAAAAAGTGATTAGAACAATATAGCGATAATTGCACTATAGCCAGTGATGTTGGTCCAATGGGTCCAATGAACTTAGACATTGAAAGTTTATACTGTCCAACACTCAATTAATTATTGGACTAGATTTATAAGCGTGTTTATATTAAAAATTTAACTAGAGTCCAACAAAATATTCAATATTATATAATTATTTATTAAATTAACAAGTGGGAGCGTCGCACTAGACTAGTGAGTTTTTAACATGATCGGTTATAAAACAGGTTTTAGTTCGATTTTTGGTGGTTAAATAAAATTTATTGGTTGCCTATATTGAATTTCTGGTTAAACATAAGAAGCAGATTATTATTTAAAAATCTCGTATATCGATTATTGATTGTAGTTTGAGAAGATAATGCGATCAAGTATATATATATATATATATAGTGCAATTATGCATTTATTTGTTAGATATAAGTACATATAGTATATATATATTAAAAGATAGTGTTTGACAGAATAAGAAATTAAGTTGGGTAAGTAGGTAATAAAAATGGTATTATAAATCATATAAACCTCTGTTGTGTATAAGTATTAATCTTTTATATTCTTTTAGAGCTGCAGTGGATTGTATAAGATAATTGTGATCAAAATTTAAACTGTGAAGTGTATCCCATGAAGTCGCGTGACTCATGGCAATGTATACTTGGCCTTCAGCAAATACGGTTTCATCGATACTAGTAGTGACATGTGGTAATGTTAACTCTTGTACCTTGTGGGTAGTAAGAGCGAATGCATTTTGAAGGGGAAATTGCTGTCTTGAAGCTGGTTGGCCATTGATAGAGAAGTAAGAAGTTTCTTTCTGGACGATTATCTTGCTTACTCCTTCATAAGTAGAAAAAGTTATCTTAATATTATTACTATCTATAAGTTTAGTCATTATTCCAATAGTGCTGTTGCAGATATCATTATTAAATAATTTGTTGTTTAAAAACATGACTCGGGCACCTTCTTGTAAACACAAGGATTGAGATAAATTTGTCATATTCTTGAATTGAGAAAATGAATGATTGTGAGATAATATTTCATAGTTTAACGAATCTTTAAATTCAGAAATGACGGGTTCGCTATAGGTCTGGTTTAACGGAAGATAATGACAAAGTATCTGATTTATATTATCTGCAGCCTGTCAAGTAAGTATCACATGAGTTGTGTCGAAGAACTTGTCAGGGGAAGTATGAGGGTTTATCTTAGATGCAAGAACCGATTTGTCTATATCAGATAGTTTTCTAGTATGTATTTCTTGTAATATGTTATAAAAGTCTGTATCGTGGCGTTGTCTTTGAGGTGTAGTAAGGAATAGTGGAAAAAATCTGAGCCAAGCTGGTGAACGAAAGATGGGAAATAGATGCACAGACAATTGAGCAAAATCACCTACTACTAGTGTTGGTAAGCCTCTGAAAAGAAGATTGTTATTACGAATCTTTGCAAAAGTATCACTAACAAAAGTAAATAAGTCAGCATCTATCATTGATATTTCATCAAATATAAGTAATTCTATTTTTTTTAATTCAGATATATTTTCCGAATCAGAATGAATTAGAGTTTCATATCGATTATCATGAAATCAAATTTTTAAGATAGAATGAATTGTTCTACCACCAATATTCTGTGCAGCAACTCTGGTAGGTGCCATCAAAAGAAATTTTTTTCTTTTCAAAGATAAGTGGGAGATTAATAGGTAAAGCAAAAAAGTTTTACCAGTTCCAGCTAAACCGGTTAAGAAGAAATAAGGGTATTTGCCATTATTTGATCTTCCCTATACGTTATATAAAAGATTGTAAGTTTCGTATTGTTTAGTGTCAAGCGTTAAAAGAGAATGGTTATCAGGATGAGGAGCTTATTTTTCTAGAGAAATAAACTGATTAAAAATTAAAGTAGATAATTTTTGATTTTCGAATTCGGATACAAGTGATTGTATTAATGTGTTATAAGTATTTGATAAATTGTTTTTTTGTAGAAGATAACTCTGACGGACAGAATCAATCTTAAGAGCAAATTTAACAGTAAAGACAGATCAAAATTGTTCTTTATAGGAGGTATAACCGCTTAACAATTTGCATTCTGATCTAACGGGAAATTTCATAATAAGATGTTAAAAAAAAAAGGTTCACCATCTTCTACTCTGTAGCTGGTAAAATATAAAAGAACAGGTGTTTTTCTCAGAGACACTATTCTGTTTTTTCGATCTTGGGTATGAATTAATTTTGAATTTGGGCTAGGTAATTTAGAGCTCTACATGTAATTTTAAAAATAATCAGGATATGTCATTTCACAAAAGCATTCATCGTCAGGGCGATTGAAGTATTTATCAATAACATCATCCCAATATGGTGATTCTTCATCCTGAATATCGTTGTTTCTATTATCATTTTTATTATAAAGAAGGTGAATTGGTTTAACAGATCTTATATATAAATCAGAGGGAGCGGAGGGAAGGTAATGTATAGAAATGAAACACCTCGTTAAAGAGTACTGTAATAAAAGTATCATCAAATCTAGTCTTCTTGCCATGATATATTTCCTGTAATCATTGGCTTTAATAATTCTGACAGTTCAGCTTTAGTAATATATTTAGTGATGTATTTAGCAAAGCCAGTAGAAGTGATATATTGAAAGTTGATGTGACTACGCCATACTAATAAGGTTTCAGGGTGATAGAGAACTACCATTCTGTCTTTGATTTTTGTATAACAGTAAATATAACACAAAGAGTTTTGTGAATAGTAAGTTCTTTCAGATAAAGATTGAGGAAAACTTTTAGAGCATTGATTTCCATCAGGACTTGGACCACTACATCTGTAATCACAATGGTGTATTTAAAAAGATAATACTAGCACATATAATTCAGGCTCAGAGATGGAATCAGAAAGGTCAGCATGAATTATATTTAGAGAGATTAATTCAGGTATTTTTTTCCATATATGTGAATCTGTGTGTATGTATAGTTCAGTGGTTTTGAAATTCATCGTGCTCAAAGAAATGCTCCCATTTACTTCACCTAGAAAGGGATAAGTGTTTCCAAAGTTTGTTACGAATATTAGACAAGTAGTTACAGTAGAATAGGTAAGTGTGTAGCAGACAATTAGTAGGTAGCGTATCACCATTATCAGTTTGTTTTAGTATCTCATATAAATGAGGCCACCTGCCTTTGGCCATGGTCATCGTGTAAAAAATCTGAGGTAGACTATAGAAACTGATCATAGTATTAACCTGATACTGTTTTCGTTGAAAAAAGAGGATGGCAGTTCAAAGCCTCGAAGGGATCATAGTAGTTTTAGTCTCATTTATGATGTTACGGGTGTTATAAGAACTTTTAGCAATTAAGTCTGCCTTTGTAGGGTAATATTCGTAATTAATATTCTTGGTCGATAGTATGCGATATTGGTTTTGAAAATTTTTTTTTTTTCTAAATTTAAGTATAACCAATGAGGCCAATACTAATGGAGATGGAAACAAGGATCAGGATAAAGTAAGTGTAATTTTATGTATTTTCTATAACTGTCAACCGAAGGTTAAAAATTTAGTAGTTGTCTTATATTTTCGTAATGCCCTTGACTATTAGGGAATGAGTTAGGAAACATCAAAGCTTCTAGGTTGGAATTATTAAATGTGAGAGGTTTACTAGTATCGGCTATTGAACCAGCTAACAGGTGATATTAACATGCGTCTTCGTTATGAATTTCTTAGAGAAAAGAATTATTTGGGACAACTAAATCAGGGGGATGAGGTAAATTATCAGAAACACTACTGCAGTATATATTGACTGAATGGGTAGTAGTTTGAAGTGATTGTCAGGCTAAAGGTAAAGGAATAAGAACAGGTGTTGTTGGGGTCAGATGGGTAACAGTTATTCCCAAGGTATATTCACGAATAAGAGGATTCATTTGTTTAAGCCATTCAGATATGAGAATTAAAAAATCATAGAACCAGTTCGGTAGTTCATTAATATTCAGGTAATATCCAATTAATCCGGAATACAATTGGAGAGTTCTGTAATTGTGCAATAGATTGATAGTTCCTTCAAGGTGACGATAGTTGGTATAAGGATTTGCACCAGCAGTTCGACCTAATGAACAATTTATGAAAACAGGAGAGAGGTATTTTCTGTACATCATAGGGACATTATGTATCTAAGAAGGAATGCAGGTTAATATAGGAGGATAGCAACGTATTTTTTCATTTTTATACGCATTGCAAATAGCAACTTGAATAATATTTTTATTATTTCTTCTGGTATGAACAGGAAGCAAGAAAGATTGTAGCATAGTATACGGATAATCTTTGATATAGTTAATCTATCGTATAGAAGAATTTGATATAAGAATTGAACAAAACGTACAAGGAATGTTCGGGTAATCTGATAAAATTTTGTTTAAAATTAATGTATGAGATGATGAAGAGCTGAGATTAGATGCTAATATGAAATGTCATTAACTTTATAAGGAGAGAATGACAATTTGGGAATATTAAAATTAGTAGAGATATTTGATAAATTTTAATTTATTTTATTTCTGAAAGTATATGGCTGAAAGATATTATTGATAAGAGAAACAGCAGGATTTTCATCATTTTGTGTTAATATTTTAACGAAAGAGGTAAGATGAAAAGTTTGAATATTGTAATCAGGCATTTTATTTTTTTTTTGGTAGTATCTTTGTCAAGTTTGGAAAGTTTCAAGTTTTTTTATATCATTATAGGATAAAATTCCATATGTGATATGAAACAAATTCGAGTACAAAAAAAATTAAAGGTTCAGGATTTAGTTTTATCAATAATATTTTTAAGCTGGAAGTTTTTTGAGTTTATAACAATAAAATTATTGTACTTTTATAATTTCGTAATAATGAAGTAATACAAGAGGCTTTAAATTAACTATTTTACTTTTTTCACAGCCTGAATCATAGAATCAAGATATTTGAAAAAGAGGCTTTGAGTTAATTACTTTATTTTTTG